GTGTGTCTGTGTGCATGTGCGTGTGTGTGTCTGTGTGTGTGTGTGTGTGCGTGTGTGCGTGTGTGTGTGTGTGTGTGTGTGCGTGTGTGTGTGTGTGTGTGTGTGTCTGTCTGCATCACACCGTGGTGAAATCTGATTCCCCCTGCTGTCCTCTCCTCAACTTTGTGTGCCGGCTGCTCCTGTTGTGCTTCGTGCTGATGCCCGGCGTACGTACGAGTCGGCTGTCTGAGCGCAAAACAACCGAAGAAGTTACGCAGAGAGAGAGAGAGAGAAAGAGAGAGAGTACTTTTCACCTCAGAAATGGAGGAGAGGAAAAATAAAAGTGGAGGGATCGACTGAAAGCAAAGCGGAGAGTGACGAATTAGAAAGCCAGTGACAAATGAAAGAAAGATGGAGGCAAAGATGTGTTTGAAGGTGATAAATGGCATTGATAAAAACCCAACTAAAGGTCGGCTATACTTAGTTGCAGATGTGCGTAGAACAACTCCGGCTCCCTTTGGAGATGTGCTTGTTCCTAATATAGTTTCCGCATGTAGGACTGTGTCCCAGGAGGAGCCTGCACTGTTAAAACGACGCCCATGTGTGTGTGTGTGTGTGTGTATGTGTGTGTGTTGCACAAGGACTACACACACCCTGCCAGGGATATTTATGTCACATGTGCTTACAGATGGGTGTAGTGAACAGCTTTGTTAGAGCGGAGGGAGAGAAAATATGATGACTTGGCGTAGGATAACTCAGAACCATGTTGGACTCTCGGTTAACTTACCTTGGCTGAACTTTTACAGGTTTTGTCTTTTCCACAAACGCTGCAGCGACGCTCAAGCTAAAGAGCCGCTTGTCATGCGACGATGTTAAAATCCAACTCTACCCTTTTTGCTTGAAAAGTACGAAAGCTTCTCGGTAAATGATTATTTGATTAATGTCAAGAAGTCGCAATCGTGGATGTTAAGCAACATTTCAGACACGTTTCACCACCGTGAAATATTAGCAAATCTAGCCAAACGGATAAATAAATGAATTCACTGCAAATCGACAGAGAAAAGATATTAAAATAGGTGAAAGTAGAGATGGGAGGCGATAGACGGAACAATCTCTGAGGAGAATAAAGGTGGACAGCCACAGTGTTTTCCCCCCATGTTGAGTCTGTGATCTACATTCAATCTGCACTCTGTGAATTATTGATTGGCCTTTAGCCAACCGGTGTGTGTGTGTGTGTGTGTGTGTGTGTGTGTGTGTGTGTGTGTGTGTGTGTGTGTGTGCTAATATTCTATTGGTGAACAGCACAGTTGGATTTTCTTTTTTTGTTTTTTCCCCTCGCTTCAGATGTGAAGGGGGGTCTGGGACGTTTACATCCCACATGCAAAGTCAAACATCCACACGCATTAAAACACCAACGATGAACAGGTTTGTTGTTTTTGTAGCGTGATATATAAATATTAAAAGCTGGACTTTAATAGTCATCTTGGAGAGTGGATCTTTAATTCCAAACCAGCCGTCTCCTCTTAAGTTTTGAGTATTCTTAGCTTTCACAGATTCGCGTTCTTTGCATTTGGTCAGCGTTTCTTTAGAGCACCTGCAAAACGTCTGCACCCATAAAGCAAAAAAAAAAAAAAAAAAAGTTAAAAAAAAAAGGCATTGTTTCTCTGGTGATCACCTGTTTCTCTAATTTTATCTCACCTTTTTGATAAATATGCTAAATACATTATATATCTGTGAGGGGTTTGGTTCAATTCTGTTTTATAACGTGGCATTTTTTTTTTTCCCACTTTTTCAACCGTTTTGTTAAAATTTGGCTACGGTAACACACGTTACCTGTACGTAGGTCTCAGTCGTGTGCATTTCCATTTGTTGTGTAGTAACAATAGTTCCCCAGCGCGCTCTGTCATTTCGAAACCCTCCGTAAGTTCAAAGACGACTGGTGCTCTGCAATCTGATATTGCTAACAACTGGAGTGGTTGTTTCACAGGAAGTAAGGGTTCTACTCATTATGTGCCGTTTCAGCCACTTGTCCACATTATAGCTTCTTAACAATGGAAAAAAAAAATTGAGTTCATTCAAAGATATCCCATGGCTGCTTCCTTATGCGTCTTTCTCTCCCGACCCAATCGGACACGATAATAATAATAATCAATTGATATTAAACATCAGTTCAGACGAGACGACACAAAATATCGGTTTAATAACTAATGTAGTGGTTTTTCGTCTCCATTCCTGTTTTGTTCTAAATCCGCAGCCAGCCCAAGGCAATTGCCATTTTAGCAGCTGCTCAGGCCTCCAAGAGCACGATAGAGCATGATAAAATCTCTAAAAATATATATGTAAAATAACACTGAATAATGCAAACTAAATGTTATTGCACATGAATAAATGATGCATTTCTGTTTTACTTTTATAGTTGTTTCACAAATGATAGGTTAATTTCTTACTGCTGTTGGGAAATACAAGATATCCAACATGTTAGCTTGTTTACTGTAAATTCATTGTTTATCAGCTAGTCTTACTTTCAGGTAATTAAAATATTATGGTGCACTTAAAGGGACAGAATGCAATTTTTATAAAAAAAAAAAAATATATATATATATATATATATTTTTTTTTTTTTTTACATATTTGTTAAAACTCACTTTGTTGTGACAGTCTGGTTTGAGATGGATAATCTGTGAAAAGATCGAACTCCTCCATTTCTCCCTGTGCTGTTATTGCTGTGTGAAGAAAAGCACCGCTCCCGACTAAAAACAACCAATCAGAGCCAGGAGGCGGGCCTTAGCGCTGTCAATCAATCTCATGTACTCATAGCTAAATGTGCTAATGGCAGCAAAATAACTTTCCATTACAGAGTAACTGTTTATCCACTGTCATCGGTGGCCATGCTAACTAGTAACTAGCCTTAGCATTCATGACAGGCTGTGCTAGCTGTAGCGTAGCAGAGAGCAAGTTGGAGAGAGGAGGGGATTGACAACTCTTAGACACTTCTCTGGGCTTTGACTGGTTGATTCTAGTTAGCACTGGGAGCACTGGGACAAGGCAGAAGTGTCTGTCTCATGCCAATCTGTCACGACAAAGTGACAGTTAAAATATTTCTTGTACAGTTAAAATTAGCTTAGGATTAATGAAGCGTCTGGTGTTGACATGCTAGAATGGGAGGAGGGCTCCATATGAAAAAAGTCTTGGGCCGGCCCTGCTTTTCATCCGTTTGTTGTTTACGGCTAGTTTTGCTAGCTGTGCAGAGAAATGCTTTTGCTTGGAATGAAGAATTTCAGTGTGATGCATGTTAATGTTTATCAGAAAATGACTGAGGTTCAGAGCATACACACTGAGGAAGGAAGGAACATCACTGTGTCTGTAAGTCTGCCACTAGAACTGATTATCAAAGTAGCGCATATGCTGGGAATTATCTCCCTAATGATAATTATTAAAGTAATTATTTTTAATTGAACAGGAAGAGCACTTTATTTGAGGTCTAATAGATGGGAGGAATGCTGAGGTGTGCCTTTGAAAAGTGGGCAGCAAAACTGGAGTACTGCAAAAACAAAAAAAGAAAAGAAAGAAAGAAAAACTGATTCCCCTCATCTGCTCTTCTTTCTTTCACGTCATCTCTTCCCCGGCCTATCTCTCCTCTTCCTCCTCTTCCTCCTCGTTTGGCTCCGTTTCCCCTCGTCCTCTCCTCTTCTCCACTGCAGTGTGGAGAGCAGATCGGAGGCAAGAGAGGAGGGGAAAGAGAACCGATATGCAGAGAGGGTGGCGAAGAATATGCAGGGAATAAAAAAAAAAAACAAATGAAAAGCGGAAACTAAAAGGTGTTGTGACAGGCTCCATGTGTGTGTTTTTGATCTGAGCTGGTTGCTTTCTCTTGCAGCCCAGGGCGCCTCTCCCCAGAAACAGAGCCAAGTGCAGTATGTGTTTATCTGCGTGTGTGTGTGTGTGTGTGTGTGTGTGTGTGTGTGTGTGTGTGTGTGTGTGGGCAAATGTGTGTAGGTGTGAATTTGATGCTTGTGTGTGTATGTTTTTGCTTTTTGTGTTAATGCATTTCTGTGAGTGAACTGTGTTCTGGTTTTTGTGCATGAGGAGAAAGAACAAGTGTTCAGCAAAGCTAATTTCAAGCTAATTCTTGCTTTACCGTACATTCAAACTCTCAAATATATAAAAGTCTTAATGGAAACATACGGCTACATTTCTTGCTCCAGCTGCTAATGTTTTTCTGACGGAGCAATTTGAAGCGACGGGCTACTGTCAGATTTTTTTTTTCTACGTTTTGATATGACTCCTTGATAGCACGCCGTGCTACATGTTGTAAACTGACAGATGAAAGACTATACAAATTTCATCAGAACAGGAAAACAGGTCATTATTTGAAAACAAAAAATGAGCTTGAGTAGGTAGGAAACAGATTAAAAGACAGTACATCAGATTTAAACTTTCATCCAAAGCACCAATTTATTACTGCCAATGTTACATTTAGTTTTTTTTTTTTGTACATACAATAAATTATTCTGACATAATTCTTTGAGAAAACAACAATTCTTCTTGATGTGCAGTCAGGCTCTTTCACCAGTCCAACACAGAGTCCGGTCCGGTCCGGCCGTCCAGGACGCTCAAACATCAGCCGGCTGCCAGTCTGTCACTTCGTCGTGTCACTTGGCCGAGTTCTGGGATTGGTTCTGTCGACCGTGGGAGGCAGGGCCCGGGCGCTGGGGGTCACCGCCGCTGTCAATCAGGCGACCCTGAGGCAAAGATGCCGAGGTGAAGGAGTGGATAACAGAGAGGCAGAGTGGCGCGCTGCGGAGAAAGGCAGTAAGGAGATCTGACATGGCTTTAATTAGGCCAAGAGTAGTCAGGGCTCTCAGGTTTGTAGCTTATGAAATGGCTAAAGACTGCAGATATTTGCAGTCTTGTCATTTATTTAATGCTTTACCTGCTGTTCAATGTAACGTCACAATTCAATTATGCTACTTAAAAGTTGCTGTGAAAATGACATATGAAATTTGACTGAGATTTGAGCTAAAACTTGAACCTTTTCTGTTGGCCCCACAGGAAAAGTTTCAAGCTGTTGTGATTTTCAGCACAGCAATCTCACAAAAATAGTTATCACAATTTCCTGGGGTTAAAATATACCCCTCAAAGTGGAAAAAAAAAAATCAACAAGGCTTTTATGCTACAGAACATTTATGCATAATTTCAAGTTTGCTTGCCTGAAACCTGTAAAGGAAGAGTCACATGGTACTTCCTGTTTAAAATCTCCAAAGTTAAAGCTTTTCTTTGTCAGCTTAAATTTAATAGCATTAATATGTGGCTATTTACAAGCCGTCGGTAATTTAGGCATTGTTAAAAAGTAATTTGATTGTAATAATCCTTTAATTACATGGTAATACTCTGCAACTTAATAGGTACTTACCTGGTAATATGTGGCAACTTACTGAGTGAGCCACTCAGTAAATATTTGGTCATTTAGGCATTGTTGAACACTAATTTTATTGTGTAAATAATGTTTTAATACACTGTACATACTTGGTAATTACATGGTAGTAAGCATTAACTTACTGCATAAGCCATTGGTAAATATTGGGTAATCTAAGCATTGTTAAACAGTAATCTGATTGTAATTAAACACTAAAACTAGCTTTCATTGTGTAGTAATACACTGGCGCTTACTACATACTTACAAAGTAATTACTTGGTAGTTACATGGTAGTTAGGAGACTGTAAAAGAAACGGTCACCAACAAAACAATCACTAAGTCCTCTCTAAGGTAAAGAGAAAACCTTAGCTGTGGTTCCAGTGAACCCCTGAAAGTGGCACTGATAACGAAATTGATAAAATCCTTTGTTCCTATGAATCCATTTTATTTTTTTATTAAGATGCCAGAAAAAGCATGTGGAGTTTCCTCTTGAGCACAGAATAATAACAGTGTTACCCCTCCCCCACCTGTTCCTGCGCATTGCCAGTCAGCTTGCTGAAAGAAGACTCTTGTGACAGTCATAATGTGGAAACTAAAAGAGCTACAGGCTGACGTCTAATTAGCTGTAAACTATACACTTAGTTTCCATGTAAGCTAAATGTTTGTGAAAACTGATCATAACAGTTTTGTGGTGTAGATTGTAGATCTTTGACCTCAAAAAATCAGAACCTGCTAAAATACAGTCTCGCAACCCTTGACCTCAGAGTTGGTTTGGTCCAACTCACTCTGTATTATATCTGATTAATTCAGAGATAAATCTCTCTTCATCTCAACATGACTGCTTACAGTCACTGATAGAAAAGGTCTGGCTCGACCTTTTAAATCTTACACAAATCCTCCTTCTCTTTTAGTCACAGTTAATCAGATAAGATACAGCAGAAAACCTTTCCTTCATTACACCAGACAGTCTCCGTTTCTGTGGTAATGAAGCCCCCTGTAGAAAAACACATCAGTTTGTTTTAAACACTGTGAAGAAATAAATAAAAAAAAAAGGCAAATAGCCAAGTTGGTAAATCCTGACAAAACCACCAAAACGTTTCACCACAGAAAACTCATCGAAACTAGATTAGCTTTTCTTCTTCTCAGCTACCAAGGTGGCTGACACGCTGCGGGTCTCTATTAATCATTAAGCTTTTATCTTTAAGAAACTGAACAAGAGAAATTTTTTGTGTATTTGATTGCCAGGTTTTTGGGAATTATCGTTTTGACGCTGAAACGCATTTTATATCTGACAAACCGTTTAGATACTTTTCCCGGTTTATTCCTGAGAAACGTGAAGTCGTTGAGTCTGACAGCTTTCTCTGTCGCTGTAATTTAAATGATATTCTCCATCTGCATGTACACAACCTGTCTGAACGCACTAATTTGGATGTGAAAATGTATTTAAAAAAAACTAATTTTCCAACCATGTCTTCGCTAGAAGCTGACAAAAAAAAAGGAAAAAAAGAGAGAGAGAGGAAAGTTGGAGAGATAATTAAAATTACATCCTTTAATCCTCTGGACACACACTCATATACCCACAGTGAGTGAGCTTTTAATTAACTATTTGGTGACAAGGGATCGGTATTGGACTAATTATTTGAACCACACATCTCGCTGCTCGTCTCTTCCGGAGAGACGCGCAGGTACTCCGCAGTTTGAGCTCGCCCCGGTAATTGCTGGGTTTTGTGAGGAGATCAGTTTTGCTCTTAAATCCCCTTGAAGCCAATGTCAAAATCATGTGGGACAGAGAGCTAAAGTTAGGCCGCTTTGCAGCAGCGGACCTGAGCACGGCATTATTTGAATGCAGCGTTAAAGCGGGACAAGGCGGCAGAATAACAGGCTTTTTCCTCCCTGTTAGAGCTAAGCGCCCCGCCTGGCTCTGTGAGCTCAACATGGGGAGTAACAGGAATAACGTCCCGTGTTCAAATACAGATGTAGTTCCAAAAAAATAATAGAATAAATTTCTGTGTGCTTTCATATACAATCTACCAATAGAAAAGATCAATTTTTGATCTGGGTTACTTTGTGTTTCCAGCAGCTTCCCACCATAAACTGTGTTTCCATTATTCAACTCTAAACTTTTGTCCCCCATCCCCACCAGAACTTAATTTCCCAGAATCTTAATCTACACTTGCATTGTTTTTTGTTTTTGTTTTGTTTTTCCTGAGCATTTTTGGTTTCTTTAGCTGTGTGTGTAAAGTACTGAGCAGGTTGCTCCTCCAGGCGCTTTCTCAGCAAACTGCAAAAAAAACCTTGTCAACTTAAAGCAAAATTAAAATAAATTAACAGAATACAGGGTTTTCATCAGAAAACGTGCTAAGTCCCCACCGTGTTTTTGTGTGAAAAAAAAAGTTAAAAGTTACAAAAAGATTGGAGATGCATGAACCCAGTTCAATGCGTCAACTACAAACTTAGCTTAATTTACCTTTACACTGTTACTGATGTATTAAAAAACCCCAACATGCTTAGCCTGGTGGGTGGGCAAGTAAAGCCTGGTGGCCCGCCAGGCTTATAAAACTCTGGGGAAACCCTGATTATGTGGCTTTACTTTATTTTAAAGTCATTTTAAACTTTATGTAAATATGTGGCAGAAAAAAAATCATGTTTTAATGTTTCATTAATTTTATATATTTTTTCTTTTGTCTATATTTTGAATGTTTATTGATTTTATCTGTACAGCACTTTGTTTTAAGGTGCTTTATAAATAAAACAGTAGTAGCATTAGCAGTAATGTTCTATTTTGAAACAGGTTTGTTTCATATTTAAAATTTATATCCATTTCTGCTGCATCCAGTTGTGTTTATTTTTCTTTTAGACATAAACTATAGACATCCATTTTTTTTAACCACTAAATGAAGGAATAAGAGGAGAATACTATTTTAGTTTCTAGCGTTCCTGCTCTGAGTTGTCATTTATTATCTCCACTGCCTGGATTTATCCAATCGGAGCCTCATGTTGGATTTTTCCTGCACAGGTTACCATCGTTCATCTGGAAGCCAGTTTGTTAACCACAACTGATGCAGTTAGCAGCTTCTAATTTCTTCAGCAACCACGTTGAAAGGCGTCCTGGGGTCGTAGAAAATATGTGTAAGCTGAATCGTTAGGATTCATCAAGCTGAGAAAACGTATAAAGAGATTGCAGAAACGACTGAAATAGGTTTGAGGAACGTCCAACGCATTGGGACATTTCTTGCCGGGAGAAAATCTTGAATGATCGTCTTCGGTGATCACTTAAACATTTGTCAAAAATCAAATTGAAGAAAAACACCTGCAGAATCAGAACTGTGTTTAATAATTAACTAAGGGGATTTTTTTGTTTGTTTTATTCTCTAGAGAACGCACAACCAACTCCAGCATGTTTCATAACAAGCAAAGGTTAAAAGCTCAAAAGGATAAAGTACCCCTTGGAAATGCTTCTTAAGTGCCCCTTACCTGCACTTTGTTTGGGTTTTGTGTTGTACTTTAAACAGCCAGCTGTCTCCAGGTGGAATAAGCAGACGGGGGTTTTTTTCAGCTCCTGACATGCACATCACCACAGAGTCTGAGATAGACGAAAAATATTCAGACACCAGACAATTTTTTTTTCACCACTTCCACCCTCTTTCAGGAAAGGTCCAAAATTTCTTTCTTGAAGTTTTGGTATTTTCATAATAATTTCATATTACCATAAAATGTTGATATTCATGGTAAGATCAAAATTTCCTGGTGGAAATTTACCCTTTTCTAGGGTAAAATGTTTCCCTTTTTTGGGTCAATTTTACCTCAGGGTGGAAAACTGACCGCTTACTGAAGGTATCTGAAATGGAAACCAACACTGGAGCATCAAAACGAGCTTAGAAATGTTTCACCAAACTATACGTTCAAACACAAGCTGCATTTCCATATCAGATACGCACAAAACATTATCAATATCCCACTAATGTTAAAAGAACACAATTTCACAATTGTGATGTTTTTATTAAATAAGAAACACAATTAACTCATACGTATGGAAAGAATAAGTTTGTTAATGTTTGAAGTTGTTAAAAAAAACATGATACGTCATGATCCACCAACTATTTCCTGTCTTCTTCTTCGTGGTTTGCGTCGGTGGAAACATCCGGCGGTTGATCACATGACTCGTTTGATGCAAAAAAAAAAAAAAAGTGTTTCCATTGCAGTTTTGCTAAATAAACCAATTTGGATACAGATTTTTATTTTTTTAAATCACCTCATCCAAGCGGCAAAACTTTTGATCAAAAAAACGAAAGCCTTTTCGAAATTTCTGTTGAGCAAATTTATTTTCGGAATGTCGGATTACACTGGAAATGCAGCCACTGTGTGAACGTCATTAATCGTCCTTTCCGAATATTTTCCAACAAGTTCTAGTTTCCCTGGTGGAAACAAAGTAAATGGCGCGAGGACACTCGAACGTTGAAACAAATTTAATTTTGGTCTAATAAATATCAAATATGTGTTTTATCAGCCTATGTGTTTAAGTGTGTGTGTTTTTTCCTCCATGTCTGACTGTGAATATAGATAAATTTGTCCGTGTAGGTGGATGCAAGCAAGCGTTTGCGTGCTCATGTTAATCTTTGTGTGTGTGTGTGCGTGTGTGTGTGTTAACTGTAAGGTGGATGCAGTCCGACTCTAAATCTCACATCTTGAGTGACTTAATGGGTTGATGAGTCACTAGAAAACGAGCTCGGCCACTTTTTGTCTTTCAGTACAAACCCCTCCTGCCCATCCGGCCGACACATTTCACTCCCAGGTTTGTTTTTTGCTGTTGTTTGCTACCATTCTTCCATCCTCACAATGCTTAACAATATATACTGTACACTTGTGCATACAACTCAGTGTGCACCTGCTTCAGCCTATATCAGTGTGTGTGTGTGTGTGTGTTTACTAAGTAATGGCATAGTGCTCTACTCTGCAGAAATGATTCGGTGACTAATGTAGTAGCTGCTGATGTCATACGTTTGCCTCTCCTCGACGCTGTACTCTCTCATTTCCTGGACATTCATCATTTATCAGCCATTCACGTTCAACGCGCGCGAGCGGCGGTGGCGGCGCACACAGGGGCGTGTGCCCGCTCTCTATGCGGCAGCTCGAAGTTGCAGGCAGCACAACGCACAGGATACAGGCTATTGATATAACGTGGCAGGTTGCTTTTATTTAGAGAACTGTGAGTAATGAGGAGAAACGGAAGACGGGAAGCTGGGAGGGGTGGAGGAGAGAGACAGGAGAGGGAAGAAGCAGGATAGATGTGTGTTTTAGGTCACTCAGGAACTTGACTCAGAAGTTGTGAAATGGAATTTAGAAAAAGCAGCGGCGACGTAGCGTACGGTGTGTGTGCGTGTGTGTCCTAGTTCTCATCTAGATTGTTGGGAGAAATTGGACACATTTAGAACGGCAGACAAACACACTTTAATGTGATTAAAGTCCTAATTCATACATACAGACCAGGGTTTCTCCCAGTGTATTATAAGCCTGGCGGTCCACCAGGCTTTACTTGTGCCCCCACCAGGCTTAGCTTGTTTATTTAAGTTTTTTTTAAAATGTTTCTTTTTTTAAAGACCTTATAGTTGCTGTTCTGATATTAATCTTCCAATAACACATAATTATCAAGTGGTATTTTCAAATTTCCTGTCAACTTTAAAAAAAAATTTAACTCAAAAACACGACAGGCCGCCAGATGAATCACTGCCCCAACTACCACTTTCCCAGAAAGGGGAAACCTTGCAAAGCTGGGCGATAAATTGGTTTTATTGATAAATCGAGATATATTTTTGGCAAATTCTGTCCCAAAAACAATTTATTAAATAACAAAAGAAAAAAAATTCTTTTCCAGTAACACATTCCTTATGTTTCCACAGTTCAGAGTGACGTTAGTCCACCCAAGAACCTCCACCTTGTCTCACAAGCCCATTTTACCTCGGTGCTTGTACGTAGCAACAAACAGAGCAAGACAAGACTACTACGAAGCTTTTGAACATTTCGTCGACGACAACCTCGTCGATCAGGAATTTTTTTTTTTCCGCCTGAAATTCTGCTGGAGTTTGAATAAGTGACTTTATTCTAACGGGACACCAACCAGTGGGAGAACTGTCTCTGCCTACGCAGTCGATCCGTTTCGTCTTCGCGGCGCTTCGTCACCAGTTGGCCTGCAGGGCGAAAACATTCTGCCTCTGAAATATTCACGATGCCATTTAAAGCAAACCACTTGGTATTTTCATGCTGGAACCAACAGTTTAGCTGGTGGCTCTTGCTCTTTTTTGTCTCACACACACACACACACACACACACACACACACACACACACACACACACACACACACACACAGCGCAGCATATGCACACATACTGCGGCTGCTTCAGCAGAACTAAAATGGAGATGGTACATGTAGTCCTGCGTGTGTGTGTGTTTGTGTGTGTGTGTGTGTGTGTGTGTGTGTGCCTCTCCTTGTCTGCTGACAGTAACCTACTTTTATGGAGCCCGCTCACTCAGAATGATAAAAATACTGCAACTCTCTTCTTCTTCTTCTTCTCCTTTTCCTCCTCACTACCTCTTCCACTCTACTTCCAGACTCTTTTTCCCCTCTTTCTGCCATTTCTTATCTTTCCTTCTGCCTTAATTTGACTTCTCTAACCTTTTTCTCTTTGTTGTTCTGTTCATCTTTTCATCAGTCTCTCTTCATTGCTCCTTCATCAATTACCTGTTTTGCTTCCCTCCTGCTCCTCCTCTCTTTGCTTTATGAGGTTCTCCTCTTGCGCCCCCTTTTCCCTCTTGTTTTGTCGTCTCCCTTCCTCTCGTCCTGGTGAGGAGGTGCTGATGCTGCAGCCATCTGCCGAGCCGAGTTAAGGATGCATGATGGCAGGAGGGGAAGGAAGGAAAGGGAGAAGCAGAAACGAACCAGAACCACAGCTCCAGATTGATAGAGAGGAGGAGGAGAGAGGCCTTTTGCTCAGAGGCGATAGGCTGGGATAAAGACGGAGGGAGAATCGTGGAGCAATGCGCAGATTGGTGATTCTCAGAGATGCTAGAGATGTTTTTATTTCAGTAGAGGTGCAGTAGATAGGCTTAAATTGTGAGTTGCTTTGAATTTGATGTCCGTCAAAGCCGTCTTTTGACAGATTGATTTTCTGCTCATTTCGGCGGATGATAGGATGAAGTGAATTTTACATTTTGCAGTGCTTAACTTCTTAAAACTGATGAATGAAGTAAAAAAAATAAATTAAATAAAACATGATCCAAGATAAATTTCACAAAGAAAAAAAAATGTTGCCCAGTAATATTTGATTTATGGAAGATTGTATTTATATTTGTTAATTGATATGGTCAAAAGGGAGTTTTATATCTGACCTGCAAAATAAGTTGCTCAATGAAAATTAATAGGAAAGTGGTCGTTGTTCACACGTATCGGATCACAAAGTTCTTTCTGGTCTTCTTTCTGTTGCTCTGTTTTTTCTTTTTAATCACGGGGATTTGATGTGAGTTGATTTTTGAGATTTCTTTTCTTATTCTTTGGAACTGATATGAATATTTAAGTTAAATGTCAAAGGTTTTTCTTTTTTCCTTTCTCTTTGTTTCTTTTTCTTTAATCTGTTCTTTTTCTTTCTGTCTTTCATTCTTTCTTTCTTTTCTTACAATTAAAATTTCAATAAAACAAAGAGCAAATGGAAAACATGAATAAAATCTAATTCAGTTCAACTTAAATTGGAACAATCTCCAGTTCAGCTTTTAATCAAACAAATTAAGTTAGAATTCATATTGTGAATTGTGAGCCTGAGCAAAATAAACAGCTTCACCATTTAAAATCTTGTCTAGCTAAGAAAACGCATTTTGGGTTTTGTAAAACTCATGCTGCGTCTCAGGGTACAATTATAATATTATTTGGGTTTAATCTGACTTTTGTTTGAATTGGTGAGAATCAACTGAGCTCAGACTCCTTTTAAAACAGTGAAGTAGCCTTTTAGTTTTCTGCTGATTTGGAAATTTGAGTCATATAGCAACATTAGCGTCGTTAGCTAGCTAGCTGAGTTGCATGCCTGTCTTCTCCCATTTTAACTAAATAATGTGCAACATAACCAACCGGTCCTCATTTTCTGAACATGACAAAAGAAGCACGACATAAAACTCTCTTCCTAATGCCGGCCCCTGACGTAAAAATGCCCCGGGTGGAGAGCCGTTCCTTTCACATTAAAAGCTTTCGCTGCAGCAGTCGGTAAGTGAAAGGAGGAGCCAAATTAAGACAAGACGAGCATTTACTCCATTAAGGATCAAATCCCAGAGCGCCTCACGTGCTCCGGTTATGTTCTGAATGAATAAATCAGACGTGTTCAGATCCCGCCGCATCCTCAGCTGTTGGTCTTTCCTTGAGTTGCATCAGGGGTGACGCCGCAAGCGCGCCTGCATTTCACCTCATTTGTTTTTGTGAGTGAGGTCTGTGCAAATAATTTGTGTCAATACTGACGTGCATGGATGTTGTTCTTTCAGTCGGTGTGGAGAAGGTGAATGCGGTAGATTGGCTGGAGCGCTTTGGGTTTGGCTACGCTATCTAAGAGAGCAAATCTGTGTCTCTCATAACCGTCTGGCACAGTTTATTTACAGCAGGTGTCCTGTTAAAGAAAAAAAAACACAACTTAAAAGGCATCGGTAAAGCAAAAGGAGCTGAGATCAGTAGAAAATACCATTTTTTTACAAAAAAAATCTCAGTTTGAAGTCTAAATATAGCAGTTCATTGTGTCGAAGTATGGAGAGAGGATAAAGTACCTGAATTAGAACAAAGCAGCAAGGAAAATCTGGAGTGATTATTAGTGTTGAGAGAGAAAGAGAGAGACAGGAAAACGGAAAAGGAAACTAGAGGCGCGGCTTGAAAGAAAAAGTGGAGGAACAGATCAAACATGAAGCTTGTAGATAAAACTGCATTTTGCAGCAGAAGCTGCAGTATATGGGATAAAAATAAAACCTTCAAGTAAAGCAGAAAAAAAATGAAACGGCACGAGGTGAACAGAAGCACTGAAATAGACTTTGTAGAGTCTTGCCAGCTGATCATTGTTGGCTACTGCATGGGCTCTTGCGATTTTTAAGTATTTTGTTGATTTTAGTAATTATATCTGTGACTTTCTCAGCTAAATCGTATATTGCAGAATACTCTAAAACTCCTAAACATGGATTCACTTCAGGTCACGGGGATTTCTCTTGAAGTAGCTGCTTTGAATGTCTAATTTTCTATGAAAGGCTCGACGTCGTCTCCAGCAGGGGCGGTTCTTACATATGTGCTGCCCTGGGCGAGGCCCCCTCTGCTCCCTGGAATGAGACGGGGAAATTTAGTGTGCTTGTTTTGTTTTTATTAAGGATATTTCCTACAGGCTTCTCAAACTGAAACAGAATATCGATCCAAAGCATTTCAGGATATCAACATAAAAATGTGTAACATAAACAGAAAAACTTTTAATATACTGTCAACGCGATCCTTTTGTGATTAGGATGCTACATATATTAGTATTTGTGGACTTACACTTTGATATATTTTGCTGCTCTACTTTTTACTGACTTGTTATGGCATCAAATAGCTAAATAATTTAGAGTTTCAGCTTCAGCTTCCTCATTCATACATTCATTAACTTGGTTATTTTATTTTTTAATGTAGAGGGGGGAGGAGAAAAAAAGTGTATGACAGACTATGCAGCATATGTTGTTTTCCATATTTTGCTACATGGTAGCATTATTTGCTAGATGTAGATGGTAGGAGAGAAATCATAACATATCCATATTCCTTTCTGCAAAAACAAAAAATGTTTTTAAATATGAGCTGTAGCGATACAGCTTTTTGACTTTGACACCAATATTGCAGTTTTGAGAACAGACTTGACTTATTTTGCAGTGTGGAGTGCTAGAAAACGCTTGATAAAGTGATTTTACTCAAACAGAGAACAACAATCAACAACAGCCAGCATGAGAACAACTCAACCATTTATTATTAACCATTGGGTCTGTGTGTGGGGTATAAATTCTGGCATGGACTACATGCTGGAATGGACTGCTTCTGTCTGTGTGGTTATATCTGAAATTTTAGATGCAAGCCGATAAAATATCAGGCCAGTTCCCAATATCAATATCGGATCTCGACACCACTAGTTTAAGTATACAAAAGCATTTTTCTTTAATTTATACACTGAATTTTTAGTCTGGAAACAGCTCCAATGATCTTTAGAAATATGTATGAGTCAGCAAATTCTCACCGAAGGAGAATTTTTAAGAAAATTTGACCGTGTTTGAACACCGTCTCCTTCTGCTTTCCTAGTCACGGACGTTTGTGACGGAGATCAGAAGAAGAAGGAAAAAAAAGGAGAAAGAGAGAGAGTGAGAGAGTGCTTGCATCACTCCCATAACGGATCTGACTCTTGCTGAGTCGAGTGCTACACAGTTTCATTTATTTGATAAAGCTTCATTTGGTGTGATTTAAAATCTCCCCTTCATCAGGCTCCCCTAAAGCACAGCCTCAGCGCCACGCCAAAATGCCTCATCAGCTGAAAACATACACACAAACACACACGGGTGAGCACGCACACACACACACACACACGCACACACACACACACGCACACACATCTTGCTTATGCACAAGCAAACTGATGCATGAGGACATTTTTCACAGGAACACTTAGGTGGAGGAATTTAAATCGCTGTAGGTGGCTTTGTGGTGGGTTTTTGTACGGGTGTGGACAGAGGAGGAATTTTAAACAGGCAAATAGTTGATGGTGTCCATGAATAGATTTAGAACAGACACTTCTTATAACTGCTGGACGACAGGAGCTTCAGTATGTAAATAGATAATTGTGACATTCCTGTCAAAGGCAACAAGTGTTCAGACAAACTAATCTACAGTGAAAACAACACACACAAAAAAAATCCATCTTTGGACAGGGAACGCTCCGTTTTCCCTCTCTCAACCTCAAAATTAACTAGGAAAAGTTGCTTCCTGACCATCATAATACTGGATGTGACCAGGCCTGGGGTGATGTTGACACTCGACAGTCAGAAACTTTTGCAGTCACAGATGTAACCTCGGGAAGAACACAGTGTGCGGAAAAGCAGGAAGAACTTGTAAAAGGGGGAGTTGGGAAAAAAAAATGGTGTTGTTGCTGTTCTAAAACCAGAGCAAAAACAACAAGTTTATGTCCTAAAGGAAGCGATGTGATGAAGTGAAAATGTTCTGACGCTAACAATAGAGCAGTCGGTGCAAAGACAAACGGGAACAACCAGGCAGTTTCTCTGCAGTTTGACTGTATTTAAAAAAAAAAAAGAAAGAAAAGGTTTTACGTGGGTTTAGCCCTGTCACGAAACCAAATTTTGCTGAACGATAAATAGTCCTTAAAGTTATTGCTATAAATGACAATATTGTTGTTTTGAGGCAATTTTCCAGTAACATAATAACAAAAGAACACTCTGCCAAAGATCAGTGAACTTTAAATTCTAATGAGGATTTAACACTGGGACCAGAAGACATTTTAAATATCCAAAATAAACAAAGCAACAGAAGCAACAAATAAAATGAATTATAAAAGCTTTATAAAGAAATTGTCCTTAAAAAATGGCTGGTTGAGACCAATCCACTGGATTGAAGACCAGCTTTGATAGAAAAAGAGAAAAACAATAAATCAGGCAAATGGAAACAACTGAGCTCGTTTTATTTTATTATGTGGTTGATTGATTTATTGTTTATTGTGACTGGCCTATGTGGGTCTAAGTTAAGTGGATGTTGTGGCGATATAACATAATATTTTTTTGAGTTGAGTAAAAATAAGATAAAAGTCAGAAAAAGAAGTTTTGATGGATAAGTGGGGATAATCTTTTATTTTTTTTACATTTTATGCTAGGTACAAAACCCCCACGTCTTATCAAAGGGCGCATTATTAACTTTTTTTTTTTTTTTTTTTTTTTTTTTTTTCTTTTAAAAAAAAATTAAAAAACTGTAAAAAATTTAAAAAAAACACCGGGAAAAATTCCGGGAA